CTGCTCTTTCACAACCTCCTCATTTCTCTGTGAAGGAAACCGTCATTTTTCTGCATCTTTCACGGGAATGTTAAGAATTTGGGAGAAATCTCTCAGCATGCAGGGCTTCAGTGCTTACCCTTTTGTACGAAGGTGGCTGAGGGTGGCATATGTTCTCCTGATTATATTATTTTATTCCATTCTAACCTTGTAGGCTTTTCAGCTATGGGAGCTTTCTGAAAAGTCCCCTAAAGGACTTAACCAGAGCTTTCTCCCATGGGGTTTTGCAAGCCACTCTGTGCTTGAAAACCAAGTGAGGCTTTTTTGGCTTGGTTTTGTTGCTATAAGTCCATTGTGGAGGAGGAAGAGGAAGCAGGAAGAGGAGAAAAGGTCCTCACTCATCTGGCATGAGTTGGTACATAAGGCCTACTGTTCACCAGTTCTGAAACAGCTTCAGGGCCTTCCATTCTGTTTCTCAGTTTTATTCATGCTGCCACTTTTAACTATCAAAACTCTAAACAAGAATCAAGATACTTAAGGATAATCTTTTTCCAAATGAATTTGCCTGGGTAATAAGATACTGGGTATTTAGAGGTCCTACTGAGCGTTCCAGAACCATCTGAGACAACTTAGGGGGTGACCCAGGATTGGTACTTTTCGGTTGTGGGTCCTTGACTTTGAACTCATTTTGTAGGGAAGTACAGCTGGTGCCATCTCGGTTATCTTTTCATTGCAACTTTAAGGCTTTTTTATTTGCCTCACACGGGCTTTTCGGATATATGGGTTTTGTTTGTGTGTTCTTTTGTTTTTTGATTGTCCAACATACAAATGTATTCAGATTGTATGATTTCAAATTCCATACCCCACTTTGAAAGATTATGTGCCTAGAACCTGGAATACATATGCTTGAAATAAAATTTAGAGATTAATAAACAGCACAAGTAATATTCTTCTTCTCTTCCCAGCAGGCTTGTAGCAAAGGTGAGTTTGAACAGCCACTGGCATAGGTTTTAGTGGGTTTTGTTTGGTGCGTCCTGTGCCCTTGCTGGGTCCTCCTCCTGTAGATCAGGTTTACTGCTTAACCTAAAGCATGCTTTACTTTGCATACTTTAACGTTTTCTCATGCCCTCAGCATAACAGTGAGGAAAAGACACCTCTTAAGGCAACTTTTTGTTCACCCCATATTACTCAATCTCTTCATATTACTCTTGGGACTAAGGTGCCACTTCCTTATCCCAGTAGGTCACTTTGCCATTCATCCAACCCTCTAGTAACCCCACAGAGGTCAGAACCAAACTATGGTTCAAGTGTTACTCCCAAATATTGAACTGGCCAGAGAAACATGCACATTCGTCACTAGAACTATTACTTGCGTACAGAGGAGTTTCCCAGCTCTTCCTGCCAACAGCATTCTTTGTAGCAAGTGATAAGCATCTACATTGTCAGAGGAAGGATATTGCAAAAACAGTTCACAGCTGGCTTACAAGAGGATACAAATACTATGCAGAGACTGTAAGTATTAGTGCATTGTGCTACTGACAGGTAAACAAGAACAGTATGGATGGTACTATTGACCTTGACACATGCTGTGATCACTTGTGATTCAGAAGTCAGTGAGATCCAGAAATTATTGGGGGGGGGGGTGATGTTGTTTTTGCCCAATTCATGGGGGTCTCTGCCTGTTTTTCTTGTTGCTTCCTTTCTTTTTAGAAGCAGATCTGTTGTTCCCCTCCCCAAAACAAAGTTGACTTACTTCTGTATTAATTCAGTGATGCAGATCCCAAACTTCCTTTTTTTTTTAAAAAAAAGTCTAGTTTTCAAATATTACAGATTTTCATTTGCCCTACCTCCTACTTTCATGTTAGTCAGTACAACAGCATCTGAACTATATTTAAAATTTTAAGCATCAGTTTGTACCTGCATATTATGCATACAATGGTTTCCAAGATATTAACAGTGAGCTTTTTTCAAGAAAATATAATTTAACTCACAACAGCAAGTGTCAATGACACTACAATTCTAATTCTTGCAGAATGGCAGAAATTTTACTCTTTGTGCATGACTCTTTTAAGAAAATTGCATGCATAAAATGAAGATCCCAAGTACATATAAACTTTGCGAAGTTTGTCAAAACAGAGATAGTAAATTACATATAGTAAAATATTATAATACAGTCAAATGCTTCACATTTAAAACATTTAATGTAATGGCATCCTATGCATGTTTATTCATAAATGGATTCCAATGAATACAGTGGGACTTACACTCAAACACATTTACAGAGTAATTTTATTTCCCCTAGGCATCACCTGGAGCACCATGGGATGCCGTGTATCTCCTCCATGCCCACAGACAGGGCTGAGAGAGTGGAAAGGAACCTGTTTGGTACATTGGTGACGCAACAGAGAAGCCAAAGGAGGCATAAACCACACTGCAGTGGACACCGATATTGCACCCACCTGAACAGACTGCGTAAGCACCTACCAGCAAAAGGCAATTCTTAAAAGATGCCATCGATATGTTTCACAGTTATATATGATTAAGTGACATTAGATATCAGAAAATGACATCGAAACACAATGAGCACAATGGATACAAAATGAAAAAATGCACAGTTGCAAGATCACAAACACTTTATGGGAAAACAATTGAGTTATTTCACATGCAATTATACCTTTTCAGACCATAACCACAAAGTGAACAATACAACCTGTTCATGATGGCTGATGGCCTGAAGTCAAGATTTTGAAGAATAAGTTGCTACACAGACATCTCCCTGCCCTGACTTGGGCCACAATCTTACACACACACACACACACACACACACACACATTCTGGCACTCCCATCAATTTCCAGCCAGCAACTATTCTATCTTTCCCACCTTAGCAGTAACTTAGTGTAAAAAGAAAAAAAAGGGTGGGGAAATAGAGAAGGTCTGCAAGTGGGTGATGTCTGAATCCCCGTGTAAAGTGAATTTGGGCAATTGTAAAAGCCGTATCTTGAAGCACCCTAAGACTATGAGAGAATCTCTTCTACCATGCTGTGATTGTCAGCTCTTTATCGCTTAACATACTCAGGAAGACCTCTCCTTAATCCACACTTAAAACTATAAAGCATTGATGCATGTGAGCGCTGAAAAGATGTTCCCCCAAGAAAAAAAAAAGAACATAAAAAGAAGGGGCAGGGTGAAACTTCTCAAAATTCCTAGAAAGAAAAGAATGTCCCATATCCAGATGAAAACCACCAATTTTTACAAAAGTCAATAAATAATAAAAGCAAATAGAGGCTCTCCAAAACATCTGAGCCGAAAAAAAATCTTTGTTGGTATATTTGCTCAAATGTCTTCACTCACAAATACCCCTTTTTGCTAACAGTATTTATTGGTTTTCTGGCACTAATGTGATCTTTATATAAGTACATTTTTTAAATATAAGCAGGAGCTGTTACTTGCACCTGATAGTATGAAGTTTTGCTTCAAATATTTCTATCCACTTGAATGACAATGAATAGTACTACTAGACAAGCGCTGTTGGGCTGCACTTTGACTAGATAGGCACAGGGCCATGCTCCAGTACACGCTGCTTTACGCCAAATGCAAAAACATGGCCACCGAAATGCACCTGTGGGGAAGCTCCAGAAGTGAGCTCTAGGCCACACCACTCTGCCCAACCCAGGAAATAAATAATGAATGAAATAAATAAATCATCAATGAAACATGTCCCATACTGAAAATCCCTCCCCCCCCCCCTTTTCCCTCCCCATCCCCTTTGTGTGTCACATCTTTTCAAAATATAACCCAGAGGGCAGGGATTGCCTTATTTCACAGATGGATGGTAAGCTACTTTGGGAACCATTTTTGGGCTGAGGAAGCATAAAAGAATGGCAGGACTAGCCTTAGTGTGAGTCAAAAACGTGCACTTACCAAGTTTGTATGCTGCTCATGTTTGAAGCAAGAGACTGCGCTCTGCCCTTTTACCACATTGATAAAAACACAATAAAACATAATAAAAACCATAGCATTTTATCTATTACAAACAACAATAATAATACAGTAAAGCACAATAAAATACAGTAAAACGTACAAGAAGTAATTAGTCCCTTCCCTCTATCTACAGCACATCCACCCATCTCTTCCTCACACCCAGGCCTCATGCATTCTCTTTTCCCCTTTGGCCCACGGTTCATTCTGTCACCCTTCTTCTATCCCATAGTATGCATCTCTCTGTCTCCTGGGGTGCCTTCCTTTTGAGCTGCAGAGCACAGTTGCTTCTCTCTCACATTTCTGCCAATAAAATAAATCTCTTCCTATACTTCAGTTTTCTGAGATGGGTTTCTTCCGCCCAAATCAACCTTTCACATCTTCCTTGGCTGTAAGTTATTTTGTTCATTTAAAATGTTTCTATTTCACTTCACATCTAAAGAGATCTCAGAACTCTAAACAACAAAAATAAAAGGAATAAAACACAACATGAAAAGGTTGTTGTTGCAGAGGATTTACCCAGAAACACGATAGAAGTTCTCAAATTATAGTGGTTTCTTATACATGAAAAGCTTCCAATCCTTCTCAGAACAAGGAAAGAGCCTGTGGCCAGATGAGATGGGCATGACTTAACTGTAACCAGAATCCTGAACAGTGACCTGCCTGTCATTCACAAAACCACATACTGACTCAAAAGATCCATGACCCTTTTTTTCCAGGATCTTCAGTGGCTTTTACTGGAGAAGAAATCTTACCTTTTTGCTTTTCATTTCTGATTTCCTTTAGTAGATGGAAGCTTGGCAAACACAATACACCTCCCCAAAGATAAACATGTTTGGCCAGTCACCAAGGAACTGGAAGACCATCTTCTATTTACCTCTCCTTCTACTAAGATCCTTGCAGCCCCACCTTGTTAGACCCTGTCAAACAAGCTGGGAAAATAGCCAAAATCTCCTGCTATATAAGACTCTGAGAATACAGGTGAGCGTGTCCTTCCAGCCAGAACTTGGCTGATTATCTCTGTACCAAACCCCATTCAAGATGGGGTTTGGTGGTGGGCTGAAGATGCTGTTATGGGCTGTTCTACTAATGTTCTGCTGTATCCAACACAAAGGTAAAAACTCCTTTGCTTTGCTTTGCAGATTTTTAAAAAGTCAATGTAATTAGATAGCTTCAAGTACCATCCCATGTAGCTGCCCAGAACCCTCTGTACTTGGAAGGCTTTGGGCACGGATAAGATTACAGGTATCTCACCGGGCTTTCCCTGTCTTACAAAAGATATAAATGGCTGGTTTTGGATATCTACATCTTTTGTTCCTGTTTATGAGGATGAGGACATTTTCCATCTTCAGAGCTGCAGACAGCACAGAAAGAACCATGCCAGATGCAAGGGCAGAGAGAAGGCACTCAAAGAAAAGGTCTCCCCTGCGACCTCAGGGGATTTTTGCAAGATCACAGCAGGAACTCCAACTTTTCCTATGGCCAGCCAGACAGCACCTGCTAGCCAAAGGACTGCATCCTTAATTCACTTTCAAAAGTATAACTCATTCTGTTGTGCAAACCATACAAATGTTTGAATTTCAGTAAGTTTTTTTCTCCATTTTAATACTGTTTCAGTTACATATTTAATGCTTTTGCATTGACTTGCAGAATTTTATTGGTATTTTAATTATATAATGCCTGAAGCCAAAATCATTTAGTGAGATTTTGAGAATGACAGCTTTGAGGACTGTATGCAAAAGTATAATTGTCCTTGTCCTTGAAAGGTTTTCATTTCTATAGAAACATAAGCTTCTTAACAAAATAACTTGTTTGCATTATATACTTTAGAAGTCTGTTGGACAAGCTACATGATTCCACATTTTCTCAAGACTTTAAAAGTTAATTATACATCTAGTCTATAAAATTTAAAGCAGACAACAGTCTCTCCTTGTCTATCTTTCTTTATTGCCCTTCTTCAGTCTTGTTCATATGTATATGATGTGTAAATGCTGATGTGTGTGTATATATGTGTGTTATTTTTAAGTGAAAGGATCCCACACCCCAAATTGAAATATTACTGCACATAACAAGTGCTGCTGTTACTTCTGACTAAACATACATAGGTTTATGCCTTAAGCAATGGTACAGAAAAGACTCAGGCAATTCCTCTATACTGGGCATTTTTGGAAGAAAAATCAGAACCCCTGTTTGGTCCCAAATATTCTCCATACTACTGCATTTCAAAGGGCACTAGAGCCAGATTAGGAACCATGAATGATGCATCAATTGCATTCTGAAGGGTGCCTGATAGGCATGGGCCCTTACCTAGATTTAAATGCATGGTGTTTTTTGGTGCCCAGGTGCCTTAGAACTTGTGAGGTAGTCAGAAATATGGAAGAAGAAATGGTAATTCATCTCAACCAACCCAACTCCTCTATGAAGTATATAGACTATCAGATGTAAGATTTGCAGGCAGGGATAAGTCTCATCACCTCAAATCCTCATAATTAAACACTACCACTTTTACTAGCAATCTAATACCCTGCCCCCCCCCCCCCCACTATCTTGGAATTAGCTTCTATTCAAAACAGCAGGGCTTCCTAGCAATATGTGTTTCTTTAACTCAGGGTGGTTTACAAAAATTTACAATAGGACTGAAGTGCTTGCTATTGCAAAGGCTGGTGGTAAGTTGTCTCTTTTTATTATGATCTAAGACGCCAACAATATAATTCTGCAATAGCCTGAATAAGATCCAGGGTTGTGGTTATTGTTGTTATGTCGGGGGAGTATCTTTTGATACTGAGGTCACTTACAATGTAATCAGCATAAGTTATGACTCATTTTTAGAAGAAAGGCTATGTTTAATATTTACTTTACCTCCCATATAATATTTCTTGTTCTGGTAGAGCTCTCTGGAATCAAAACTTGTCAGACACCCTTATTATTTTGGAAGACACACATTTAAAATGTCTGTTGACAGTGTCTTCAACTGAGCATAGTTAGATTATTTTTTTACTCGTGTTTGCTGTAGTTGGATGAGAAAATATGCTTTCCCCACATTGGCATAAACATAGTCTTGCCTGGGAATATAGCTACACTGCATCCTCAGTATAGTTCGAGTCATGCAAGGGGCAGTTCAGAAAGGGCTGCAGTGAAAAGAATCTCTACCACAGGTTTCTTGGCACGTAACTAAACTATGCTTTCCAAGATACTTAGGGGGAAAGCAAGACATTTAGGTCTTCTCTATAGGAAGCATTTATTGTGTGCTTGTGATCCTTCATGCATGGAAGTTTGCAAGTGCTTTTTACAACATCATCATTGTCCCATGTTTCTAGCCATTTGATGGCTTTTTTTAAAGCAGGGGAAGTCCAGTTTTTTCCTGGATGGCACCATTATTCTCTACACAAGCCTGGCATATTCTTGCCATTTTGCTCTATAATATGATGCCAGCTTGTGTTGTATAATGAAGCATAAAGGAACATATAGAAAGGCAGAGAGGCAAACTCTCAGAAGGAAAAAGAATACACTCATATGAAGGAGTCTATAATCCTCAGTCACACAAAGAAAATGGAAGAAGCAGCTTCAGTAAAGCCTCTGTTAAATGACTTAGGTAGAGAAGCTCATAAACTGATATAAAAACCAATATTTTGTACTGTAGATATGCCCTGCAATGTAAGCACTTTTAAATATCATTAGACTCAGTCGGAGAGCTTAAATATGCACTTAACTTTCCCACTGGAATCAGCAGAATTATAAATACTTAAATTTGCCTGGATTATGCAAATATAAAATGCCTGTTCATTGAGGATACAAATTGACAGAAAAAAGGATACTTATAATTTCATTAAATTAACAATAGCAAGGGAGTTGTGAGATTTTCTGTCAACCTGCTCATTCTCTCCTATTTTCCTATACCTTTTCAGTAGGATGCTTCTGTAATAGGCTATGGGGATCATCACTGCTTTAAAAACTATTAATCGATACACAAACCTGAACATAGAAATGAACATGCACGCTTTTTGTCTCCCTTTGTTTGCAGTTTCTTGCACAGAAGGAGTATCTGGAAAGGTGACCATTATCCCACCATTGCCAACAGCACCAGTTATAAAATGTAAGTTAAGACCTGTCCATTATTCCCTTGTATCTATCAGATATGCTCATAGAGTAGCAGAATGAATAAAGTTAAGAAACAGATAAATAGCTGGTGAGATGTGGTGGTTAAGACTGTAGGACTGGGACTCAGGTGATCTGGGTTCTAGTCCCTGCTCAGCCATGAAGCTCAAGTAGGTGACTCGGGCCAGCCACAGACCCTCAGCCCAGCTGACTTCACAGGGTTCTTGTGGGGTAAGACTGAGAGCAGGAAGAGGAGACTGATGTAAGCTGCCTTGAGTTCCTTGAAAGGAAAAAAGGCAGAATATAAATATAGCAAATAATGTAATGTAAGTGCCACGCTGAAACCGACCGAAATCCTTCCTAGTCCATTGTTCAGCCAGACATGAATGCAAAAGCACCTTCCTGCTTATGTTCCCCAACAATTAATATACATAAGCATACTGCCTTCAATATGGGAGGTAATGTATAGCCATCATAATTAGTAGCCATTGATTTCCTTCTATTCCATGAATTTGTCCAGTCTAGCCATCCAAATTTCTGGCCATCTCTCTAACCTGTGGAAGTGAATTCCATATAACTATGAACTGTGTGAAAAAGTGCTTTGTCTTATCTGTCCTGAATCCCTTGCTGTTCAGAGTAATGGGATGACGCCAGGTTCTAGTATTACAGTATTATCAGTATACCTTACATACTGGCCTTTCTAGTCTCCTCTGCTCCCTGGTGTGGGTTTTGGGGTTTGTTTTGTTTTTTGCCACCTTCCAAGGTCATTTTTCTGACCTCAGAGACCAGCCACTGCTTGCTGTGAAGGATGAGTGAAGGGATGGAATTCCAATCCCAGAGTCCTATAGTTCCTCAAATGCTATTTAGCTGCCATAAGATTGTCGCCCACATGGGCTATATGCAAAGATATTGTTCTGGAAACAGGAAAATGAAATAACACTGATTGTAAATGCATTTCCGAGTACAATTTAAAGTGCTTGTTTTAAGCTTTAACACCTTAAGTTGGGGGTGGGGGGGAGGGATAACTACCTTCTCCCATACTAGCATGCCCAGAAACTGCTGGCATTGGCCAAGATTCTTCTCACTTAATTGCTGCCAAGAGCAGACAGAATAGGTCAGGGGGGCCCTTTGGTGGTGGCTCTGCACCTCTGGAATCTGATTCCATTAGAAATTAATTAGGTCTCATTCAATCAGGTTAATTAATTAGGTCTCATTCAATCAAGCCTGAAGACCTGCTTGTTTTCACTGTTCTTTTCATAATCTGTGGGTTGTATGTTTTACTGGTGCAATCTGTGTGCACAGTATTTTACTAAATATGCATTGTATATTTTGTTTATATCTTATACCCCAGCTTGAGAGACTTGTACCCTTAAACACAGCCTAAAGAGCATTAATTTTTTTAAAGCATATCAAAATATAAGCAGCAAAAACACTTTTGACATCAATCTAGAACATGTACAATATAGGTTTACAAACTTTTGTGAATTCACAGCCTTCAACCCGGCTCACAATGGGCAGGTCTGTAGCACCTGGGGCCACTTTCACTTCAAGACATTTGATGGGGACATCTATAATTTCCCTGGGACCTGCAACTATATCTTTGCCTCACATTGCAAAGCTGCATTTGAGGACTTTAACATCCAGATCAGGCGTTCCGGGGTAGGAAGCGCTATTGCTATCAGCTATATCACCATTCGGATAAATGGAGTGGACATTAAACTGGAAAAGAATCTCATCTTGGTGAACAGTGAAAGGTAATATTATAGTTCTGTGTGCTAAACATTGAATGCTGTGCAAGTTCAAATCCCAAATTCACATGAGACTCTTTGTATTTTGTTCTGCAGATGTGTTAAGTGTTAACTCAAGAAAAAAAGTGGTTCAAATGGCCAAAGACCAGTAATATTATTGTAAATATGTTGGCACTCAGTATGAGAGTCCCTGTAGGCACACCCCCAGGGAGAGTCCCAAAATTCAGGCAGCTGTGTTGATCCATATGGCAGACCAGTTCAAGCAGTTTTCCCTCCACGCAGTGGCTTTTTTAACGAAGTGAATGGATCTAATTGCCTATTCAAGACCAAGCCACACCAAAATACTTTGCATTTTAATGGGTAACTCTATATGGGGGAAGGAATCATTTATCCCTTACCAGCTACAGTGAGAATTCCAGATAGTCTCAGAAGGCATAGGGAAGTCTGACAGAGTGGCAGCTAATATCAGCATCCCTAGTAGTAAAATAAAAGTAAAAGCCTACATTGTGTCATAGAATCATAGAATAGTAGATCTGGAAGTGGCCTATAAGGCTATCAAGTCCAACCCGCTGCTCAGAGCAGATCTCCAGGTTAAAGCATCCCTGCCAGATGACTACCCAACTGCATCTTGAATGCCTCCAACGTGTGAGAGCCCCTGTCCCCGCTAGGCCATTGCTTCCATTGCAGTACTGCTCTAACACCCAGACATTTCTTCCTATGTTCAGCTGGAAAATGGCTTCCTGTAACTTTAGCACACTAGTTCATGTCCTGCATTCCAGCATGACTGAGAAGAAATCCTGGTCCTCTGTGGACAGCCTTTCAAATATTCGTTAAGTACTATGCTATCTCCCCTCAGCCTTCTTTTCTGCCTGCAAAGAAGTGGCTCTTCCTCACCATTGCTGGAGACCCATGGTTTTAATACATTTAAAAGGCTGCATACAAGTGTAAAATATGAAGTACAGGGTGATCTTGGGAAGTTTGTGAGACAGGACTGCATTTTTGCATTTTCTGGTTGATTCTACACTTCTTTTCCTTTTTTATTTGAATAAGAAAATATAATATCACAAACCAGTCTCTGTCCTTAAAGTAAATCCTTTTCAAACATATATCCATTTCAAAGTCCTTTTCAGACATGAGGACTATCATGAACACTTCATGATGAAGAAAGCAACAGAAGAAACTATTCTTTACTGTACAGATATAAAAACAGAGAGAAGAGAGGTGCAAATAAAACACGAAATCACAGTGCTTTATGACATCCCTTCTTCCTAATAGTTAGTCCAATGGTTGGGCTTTCAGTGTGAATTGACTTAGAATCATAAAATCATAAAATAGAAGAGTTGAAAAGGGCCAAAGAAGGGGCCAGGTACAAACAAGGCTAGCTGATGATCAGGAAATAGGACATATTTCTATTTCTCCTCATCTGAATAGGAGGAAAAAAGAAATTGACCATTTGGCGATACAGCCATTACCTGAAATCAGGATATAGCTGTTGTGCTTTTACAGTTCATTCTAGGATAGGTTCAGGGCCCCAGTCTGGATCTTAACAACCTCCTTGCCCTCTATGCTAGGATCTCAGTCAGGATTGGCTCCTCTTTGCCTATTCATTAATAAACATTTAAAAATGCTACATACACATTTGAAGCAAAGTCTGTTTTGGCTTCCAGGGAGCCAGGTTTGGGCTCCGTAGATATCTTACCATCATGCTGATTGGGAATTATAGTCTAAAACATCTGGATTGACCTACAGTGGGAAAGGCCGCCATAAATATCTGAGAGCAGAAAACATGGTGGTGGGTGGGGACTGCTGTTGGAATGCTTGATCTGGGCTTCTACCTATAAGCCTCTCTGTTACTAAATAAATATAAATCTAACAAAATGCCCATAAGCCTTCAGGGGCTCCTTTCCAAAGGAAAGTAAATTTGGCTAACTGCTCTGCTCCTGGGATGCCTCACTGCTTAGAGAACCCTGGCATTACTGTGACATGACTGGCACATTCAATATTTCTGGTGCTTTTTCATCAGGGTTGAGCTGCCTTACAGTGGATCTGGATTTAGCATTGAGAAATCTACCATGTATATTGAAGTGACCGTCAAGCTGAGCCTAAGCTTATGGTGGAATGAAAATGACAGCATCATGGTAAGTGCTAGATGATATAGAGTACCTATATGAGAAACATAAAGCAAAATGTTGCACTGTTCAGCAATCCAGTCAGAAAGTTCTTTTTTGGTATACTCTGTTTCATTCCCTCCTGTCCCCCAATTCCTCTGCCCCTTCCTATACAACTCCACCATTCTGTGTTTGTTGCACATACTCGGTCCTCACTGGGTTTACTGGCTTAGGGTTTTTTCCTAGACATTTTTTCCTCCAAATCTTGTGGTTCCCCAAGCATGAACCTGTTCCTCAATAGCCCCATTTCAGTATGCAGGCATCATCATGCAAAACTAGAATTTGCTATTTGCATATAAGAGAACACACAAAGGAGAAAGCACAAATTAAGTGATAAATTTAAGTCTCTGGTACAGTGGTACCTTGGCTCACGAACTTAATCTGTTCCACGACTCTGGTTGTGACCCAAATTGGTTGTGAACCAAGTCAAATTTCCCCATAAGATTCAATGTAAATAAAGTTAATCCATTCTGGCCCCTCCGAATGTGGTTGTGAGCCAGTTTTGGTTGTGAGCCAAGTCAAATTTCCCCATAAGGTTCAATGTAAATAAGGTTAATCCGTTCTGTAACTATATTTTTTTAATCAGAAAAATTTGAAACAAAGTGACAAAGAACAACAAAGTATTGGACAGTACAGTGGAGAACACTAACCCAGGTGGGGGGGGGAGTTATTGTTTGGAGGGAGAGTCCCCCTCCAGAAGGACATTGGGGAGATCTCTTTCAGGGGTTTTCTCTCTTCTTTGTCTCTTAGCTGCAGGGTCAATTTTGGTGAAAAATCTGTCTATAGTCACTTTTTTCCTGCACTGCATAACCCTCCAGAGAGACCACGTTATCGTTCATCAGATTCAACACTCTGTTCATTACAGTTATATTGGGGTGGTACTTCTCAAAGAAATCCTGGCACGGGCATGCTCCTGCAGGAAAGACGGACGCAGCGCAGCACAGCCGCGATCACAAATGTCTTCCCTGCACGAACGTGACTGCGATCATGGTCATCTCCCAACTCGAGGCGGGGCGGGTGATGGCTGCGATCTTGGTTGCCACCCAATGCAGAGTTCGTGACCCAAGTCAAAATGTTCATGAAATTTTTGTTTGTGACCGGATTTGGTCATGAACCAAGGCGTTCGTGAGCCGAGGTACCACTATACCTATAGGCAGCAATGTGTCCACAGATATTTCTCTTGGCACCTGCCAGGCTGTGTGTCCCTTCCTAATATTACTTAATATAAGATTTTTTAAAAACTGGGAGACAGTTATGTTGCAATGTGAAGTGCTGCCCTCTAGCACCATCTTCATAAGAGCTCAGAATCCACCTCTGTCTTGTGCTCCAATTTGTGGACAAGTTACTTTTCTTTGAATTTCACCAGTTTGCCTTCTGGGAAATGAACATTTTATAACAAGACATGCCCACTACAGTAGCCATTTTATGAATGGGACATGGCCCAACTCATGACAGCCATTTTGTGTATGCACCTACAATGCACTTTCAACATTACAAATGTGCCCACTGACATTCCTCCACCCCGTGTGTGTGTGTCTGTTTATGGGAGTGGAATATTTGCAGCGTACCCTTCCGCAAATGCACGTTCTGCATGCCATTTCATGCTGTATAAACTCGGTAATCACTGAGCCTAAGTAACTGTTTCTAATTTAATATTCTCAGACTGGGCTTGAAGATGTGAAATGTTCGTGCGTGTTACTTGGTGTATGTGTACAATCACATATATCTGTCATGCTTCTTTATTCCTAATCAAGTTCTTACTTCCCAGAGAAATCTTATTTGTAGTGGGTATATAATTGAAGAAAGCGACCAAACTGTGTTTCCACACTTGGCAATTTGATCTCTGTTTTAAAAGATGAAAATGCATTTGGATTACATATTTAACATATTCACATCTTGGCAAGAGGTGCCTCCTGTTATCTTAATTGTTCATTTTCTAGTAAAATCTCATTTTTATAGGCTTAACCTTACCTGTACATGTGGGTTTCTTTTTGTTTTGTTTTCTTCTCTTTCCAAAGCTTAAGTCTAGGAGAAAGAGCTGCTTGTGTTATGAATATTACGAGGTATGAAAACTAAATTGTTATGAATAGCATAGAGCCTGCGACTCACAAATGAAACCCCAATTTTCTATCCACTAAGTTTGAATTAGATTGCTGAAACATAACACTGATTGAAAGTATTCTAGTATATCTAGTGCAGCTACTGTCTTATATTTTCAATATATATCGTGGAGAGTCTATTAACTTTTATCAACTTTCTCCTATGTAATTTCAGCTGGAACTGGATAAAAAATATAGCAATATGACCTGTGGGCTTTGTGGTGATTTTAATGGTATTCCCACTTACAATGAATTCTTTTCAAACGGTAAGTATCAAAGCCATTGCTTATTAAATTTAGGTATTCATGGTCTATAGGTCATCATACACTAGGTCCTGTGAAGCTACAAATTCTTGAGCATTCTGACTTTTCATCCAACTTAAAAGATGAAACAAAAATTTGAGCAAGTATTTTAAATATTAGGATTAAAACCCTAGTAGTTCCATTTCCTCACTTTTTAAAAACTTCACCTTCTGAATTGTTAGATGTTAGATTAATTTCATTTCCTGTGCTTCTGATAATAGGTAAGCTTCCAAAATCTGAGCAATGATGACCACAGTATATGGTGCCAAATCTCAGGTTCATCTTGCCCTGTACTGTGGGGTCCCCAGTCTGGTGCAGCAAGCATGTGGGTACCTCCCAGGCTCCCTTCCTCCTCCCAAGTTTTAAAACATAGTTCAGCTTTTAAAAATTGAAAACAGCTTTCGCTGAGTAGTTGACACCCTGCATAGTGAAGTAGAAGCCTCTAGCTCAATTTTTATTTCCAAAAAGAATGGACCCCAGAGGCATTCTTAGAAAATAAAATGGTGGGTAGCACAGGCCAGCACTTTGTTTGGAAGCAAGCCCATCCCTCTGGAACAAAAGAAAGGGGAAGGTTGGGCTTTGACGGTAGGCTGATGCTTCACCAGTGGCAGAGAGCATTCTGTGGAAGGGCTAGAAGGGGTAGTGAAGAGTAAGGCAGGTATTTTGCCTGTGCTGTGTGAGTTTTCGCTTTAAATGTTTTGGGGGGAGTGTGTGATGTATGATAGTTTTTGAGTATCATGAGTCTGCCTTCTATTAAATAGGTTTTGGAACAGAAAATTACTTTCAAAAGAATGTTTTTGCTTTTAGGAGCTCTGTCTTGTTTTGAGGTTCTGGGGCAATTTGTTTTCTTTTAGCTTCAGCAGCTTGTTTTCTCGGAAGTGGGTGTTTTTGAAACTGGTTGTGCTCATCACGCCAGCAATTTTGTGACAGAACTGACAACACTCATGCAACATTCCTAATGTGCTCACCAGCCCAAAAGGCAGGGATCCTTTCAATATGGCTGATAGTAACTCTATGGATTCAGACCAAGTACCTCAGATTTCACAAAAGAAGGTTGCTTATACAAAAGCTGCTCAGATTTTATGTGAGGGGGTCACACGGAGGTGGGTAGAGACCTGTTCTCCCCTGCAGAGGAAGGCAGGACGCACTCCAACGGAGCCAAGCTCAGGGAGCCAAGGTTCCATTTGGATGCCAGGAAGCACTTCCTGACAGTCAGGACCCCGAGGGTGTGGAATGGGCTTCCACAAGAGGTCGTTGAGGCCCCATTGGTGCGGGTGTTCAAAGATAGGCTGGACATGCACATGGTGGGCATGTTGTGAGCGGAGCCAGCTGGAGCCGGGGGTCAGACTAAATGGCCTGGGAGGCCCCTTCTGACTTGCTCTGTTTCTACGTTTCTATCTCCACATCAGAGAAACACGGGAAACTGCCATGTGCTGGGTCAACCCAGTGGTCTGTCTAGTTTGGTACTGCCAGTACTGACTGGGTGCAGCTCTCCCAGGTTTAGGCAGGAGTGTTTCCAGCCCTCATTGGAGATGCAAGAGCTTGGACCTGGGACCATCATGAAAAGCAGCTGCTCTGCCATTGAGCCATGCCCGCCCCTCATCCCCTCAAACTCACCCAACATGAAAAGTCAATAGATCAAAGGGAAGGCTCTCTTTCTCATATGCATTTGAGATCTGAGATGGTTTAGTCATGGACTGACTTCATTTTCTCAAGCTTCAGATTGTAATATACTTCAGTTCCATGGGATAAAAGAGGATGTGCTTTACATGACAAGCAGAAATCTCTTCCTTATATATTGGCCCTTTCTGATTATAACCTCACCAAACTGTGAGGAGAAACAAGTTATTGTTTATTTTCTGATGTCAATTATGATGCATCATTTCCCAGAACAGAATAGTAGATGTTTCAAGAAGCTGCTCAAGCAGAAGTGTGTGTGACTGGAGTTTTGCCTTGTATACTTGCATAATGTAATGTCTAGTATAAGAGAGTGTTACACAACTCTCCCCTTGGCTGAAGTGGCTGTATCTCCCTCCACACCCCATGCAGAGTTCCTCTGCAATGTAACAGTTCACATTAGGACTATGGAGCTCACCCATTTGCTGGTCTTTTAATATTGGAAGTTCATCTCAGAAGACCTCATCCTGATACCTCAGATGGGACACAATAGGACCTGCAGTAACCTGATGCAATTTGGAGTCCTCTTGCTCAGGGTTGCTGCCAGACAGATTCATCTGGGGTACTCCATTCCACTGCCCTTTCCCACAGGTCTCCTTTGCAAACCTTCTCCATTCTATGGCCCCTTGACATATAGCCTTCCTTGGGCTTTAGGGACAGTTGCCACACTCACATTTTTTTCCTGTAATATTGGAGTTTTCTTCATTTTTAATATTTACACAAACCTTAGCACTCCCCTGGTACAATCCTTTTGTTTCTTGAATCCTTTGGGCCTTCACTTGGGCTTGACTCTGTAAGTACTCATACACTGAGTTCAATATTAGGGTCCATGATATGCAATGATATTCCAGGTTAATAGAGATGTGGTACTGGATTTGTTCTGAGGGGCAGAAGTGCTTGATTTCCTACATGATTTTAACCTCCCACTAGAATGTTTTACTGGGAATAGAGGAAGCCGTTGCATGGTCTTCCCTACAACTCCCTTTGCCAAATTGGAATGGAATTTCTGAAAGGGGCCTCTATGGGATACACTGTACATCAGTCTCTCCATGTCATGGTTTTATGTATTATAGATGTCCGCATGACTCCCTTGCAGTTTGGGAATACACAGAAACTAAATGGACCCACGGAAGACTGTGAGGATCCTGTAGTGCCCTCTCAGAACAACTGTACTTTTGTAACTGTAAGTACTTTTTTGCTTATTTTTCTGCTTTTTTATTTCCAAAGTGTTGCTAGACTTGTAAGAGTGTCCAGATGTCATGGCAAAGAAAAAAATGTCACTATCCCTCCACAATCTCACTGTCCACAAGGCTGAAATGTATCTTAAAAGTTCCTTGTCACAAGGATCTGATTTTTATTGTTGTCATCGCCTGTGCAATATAAAGTGCCAAGTACACTAATGACATCACTGTCGCAATGCACAATCAGTTTATCAGCAGTAAAAAATAGGTCTTCTGAGACTTGTACGATGCATTGACTTAATCAGATTGTTTGCTTTTCCTTCTAGAGTATCTGCCAAGAGATACTGATTGGATCTGCGTTCTCTCAATGCAATTCTGTGGTGGAGGTGAATGACTACATTGAGACCTGTGAACATGATTTGTGTCACTGTGACAATCCTGAAAGATTATCCTGTGCCTGTAACACCCTTGCTGAATACTCCCGGCAGTGTGCTCATGCTGGCGGGCAGCCTCAGAACTGGAGAACAGAGACACTGTGCCGTAAGTGCGAATCACTGCTAGTCAGTGGCAGAAGAGAATTTAGTAGTTTGTAATCAGCACTGACTTGACAGGACATTTAGTACACATTCTGGTCAAACAGCAATTAAAGGGCATTCCCAAGAGCAGAGTACACCAGATGGGTTACAAAATTGCAAGGTTGTAAAGATATAAATGAATAGATCAGCACATGGCTGTGGAAAGCTGACATTGTATTTCACAGATCCCTTTCCTGGGTCTAGCTTGTTTACTGTTATTAATAATTTGCATGAGCAAGCAAGAAAAATAACAAGGCACAGATTTTAAGATGATGCACATTTGAGAGGAACTGGAAAAGTTCCAGACTAGACTAAACTGTAAACAAGCAAAAGAAAGCTTACATTCCCTTTATCTGTGGTCATATTGGTTCTCTGAATGGGCCAGCAGATGCTCTGTGGGCTTCCAGAGTCGTCTGGGTAAGCAATGTGCCAATTTCTCTCCCTAAGCCAAGAACAAACATCTTTTACCATGAATTTTACAGAGTTCTTACTCTGCTTGTTTCAGAGGCTGTCAGTAGACATAGGCTGTAGCCTCTGTTCCTGGGAACAGGGGACAGGTGAACCTGCTTTAATGAAGCAAAGTTTCAGTTCTCCAGCAAAGGCAGCTCTTATCTAAGGAATATGCTTAGAGAAAGCAGCTTCAGGGCAATGATCCTTGGTGTTCTTCCTAACAAGCTGAAGCATTTGGACATTGGGAATATTTGCTACATTATGTCGTGAGCTAGGCGTTCCCTCCAAAGCAAGACAGTCACTTCAGCAATTCTTGGAAGAGTTTTTATTCTACACTGGAGCCTGAGCATTCACAAGCCTCAAAGCGAGAACACAAGAAGTGTTGACCCCTCTATGCCCCCCTTTACCCAAAGCTTTGTTTATGAACCCTTCAGGGCTGGACTCTGGAAGGAGGTGCACTGTGAAAGCACGTGCGACTCCATTCTGCACTCTGAGCCCCTAATTGGTCCAGCCCGCAGTTGTGACGACAGGCCCTCATGTCCACATCTTGAGGGGAATCGTGTTCTCTCTCTGAGAACTCTCCCCCTCCCATCTTTTATCTGCCTTGTTCCCACAGATGGGAGGGAGACAGGGCCCCAAGGTTGTCCTTGGACTCCTTTGATCCAGAGCTGGCTCAGGCTGGCACAACGGGAGGGTTTGACCAGATGTGGTCCTGTCAGTCGCAACCACAACTCCGTTATCAGAGTGTGAACTCTGAGCCACATCTGGTTCAGCCATCCCCTCACCCCTCAGAGCCTGAACTATCATTCCCACCAAAATCAGCCATCTCTCGTGTGCGCCTGGGAATCTCATCTGAGTCCGCGTGCATGACACACTACTTGAACCTTAATAACTTCCTCACTATCCTTCCAGTAGAGCCCATCCAATACAGCCTCCAAAAATAAAGCATCTGCCAAAGGTGCAGGCAACTTGTGGCCGTCCAGATGTATTAGTCTCCAAATCCCATCATTCCTGCTCCTGTATGTTATGAGTTTAAGTTCTACTTCGTAAACTGTCCAGAGCTTTGGCTATTAGGTTGTATAGAAATGCAACTACCAAATAAATTACCTATTCTTGGTATGCAGCAGCAAACATGTGACAATGCATAATACATGCCTGATGGGTTACCAGTCATGCAGACTCACTTTAGCATAACAGAAAGGTTTTGAGAAAATGCCAGTCAACAATGGCATATGCTTTAAAAGGCAGATTCTATTTCAGGTTGCATTACCAAAAGCATTATGTGTACTAGGAGGCAGGTAAAATAGCCTGCTAACATGGATTCACTGTAAGCCTCTTTTTAAAAGCAGCAAACTATCCCGTGTAGATTGAAAGGGGGACTGAATCTGAATATCCTTACTTTCAGCAATGTCATGCCCTTTCAACATGCAATATCAAGAATGTGGATCACCCTGTGAGGACACTTGCACCAATGCTGAAAGATCTCAGCTCTGTGAAGACCACTGTGTAGATGGCTGCTTCTGTCCACCAGGTAAGGTTTCATCTTCCTCTGAAACTGACTAAATTCCTTCATAAACTTAGCCTAGAGTACCACTGTTCTGTATGGGACACTTGCCATATAATAGACAATGCAGACCAGAAACTCTCCTGCAAAACAGTTTTCCATCCTTTGAAAAAAAAGTGGTATACGCTCCAGGTGTTAGGAAGCTGTGTATGTTTTCCATCATCTGCAAATCTTGTCTGATCTGTTTTCATGTAACCACCTGTCTTTTGGCATGGATTCAGTATTCATTATAATATTTCTTTATTCCTTTAGAAACTGTGTATGATGACATCAGTGGCTCGGGCTGCGTCCCCCATGAGCAGTGCTCCTGCATTCACAATGGCAAAACTTACTCTCCAGGGGCAACTTATTCAGACCACTGCACTTCCTGGTAATTTGATAGGAGCAACCAATACTTTCTGCAAAAATCAACCCTTCATCTGTGCTTTCAACATTAAACAATGCTTTAATAGTCCACATATAATTCCCAGATGATGATTCCAAAACTTTTTATTGAAAAAAGCACTAAACGAGTCCATCTACCATTTGGTCTTTACCATTAAGCCCCTACTAGTCACTAAAGGAAATTGGTCTGCTATTTGGCCTGCTATTTGGCCATGACCAAATGAAGCCATTCTGTTGCATAATGTAAACATGTTGGGATAACCACCAAGACTGTTCAGTGTGGCTTCCACATTTTTCAACAAAACATCTTTGGCAACGAGAGTAAGAAGCTGTCAGATTTGTGGTTCATCTAGCCCAACATTGCTTGCTCTTACTGGCAGAAACTCTCTAGAGTCACACTCAAAGACAAACTGCATGTTACTTTAATTATGCAGCTTATAGCTGATCTCTTTCCTCTCCTTGATTTTTACTGTCCTATAAGTATCTGCTGTTCTGATTTGGACTGGGAGCACAGATAGCAGGAAGGACTAAGCCCTTTTGGAAGCACCACATTTTCGTGTATGGGAATTTGGAGAAGCAAATGGGATTGTGGGGGGGGGGGTCTTTAATCCTCTTTCCTGGTGCATTGTAGCCCCAGTCTTAATCAGCAGAACATATACTTAACTTACACTAAAGTAAAAAACAAATAGAAGGGCCAGCTACGCACAACATAATATATCTTGTTGTTTTACTCATTTATTAGATTTCTATCCTGCCTTTTTTTAAAGAACTCAGAGCAGCTTACATCATTCTCCTCCTGCTGCTCCCAGTCTTATCCCTGCAACAGCAACCTTATGAGGTGGGTAGGGCTGCGAGTCTGTGACTGGCTCCATGGCTCAGTGGGGCAAGAATCCAGATCACCTGAGCGCCAGGCCCATGCTCTAAACCATTACATCACACTGTTGCTTGACCCACGCAGAAATTTTACATCCCAATACCTGTTTCTTTAAACCAGAGATTCTGAGAACTGAACCAGGACCTTCTGCATGCAAAGTATATCACTGAATCATGCTCCCTTCTTTAGCTTTTACATTACAAAATTCTGAGGCCTTCCATCTACAACTCTTTTTCTACAGAATGTGCAAATATGGAGGTGTTGCAAAATAAAAGGAGCTCACAGTAGTGGAGATACCTTTTAAAATGTATGTCATCATCTGAATTCTTTTTCTTCTAGTTCCTGCACTGGAGGCCAGTGGAACTGCACAGAGTTCCCATGTCCTGGCATTTGCTCAGTAGAGGGTGGATCACACCTCTCCACTTATGATGGAAAACGTTATGATGTCTTCGGAGACTGTACTTACGTTCTCTCTAAGGCAGGTCACCTAAGATTTAGCATTACTATACTTGTTAGAAATACTCCTCCCCCACCAGAGGCAACTCACCTTCTGTTTTCAGAGTTGTAAAACCAAAGTCATTGCTCCAGTAGTACATCCTACATGTAGAAACAGGAAGTGGACCCCTATGATGTCACATGGTTTATCTAGTTCCTGTTTCTCCACCATAGGGGGAGAAAAGGTCATGACCTTCTACCATGTGACACCCCTTCACATACCTGTATGTCATTATGACATCCCCTCTGAGTCTCCTCTTAAGAAAGGAGAAAAAAATTTCCCTGCTGGGGAAATTCACAGAAATTCTCCTTTCCAAGAGAATTGTGTGGCACCCATTTGGCCCTGCTTTAAATTGAACACTCAACTGAGTACTTTTAAAAGAGAATGGGGAATTTCCTGTCAGTTGAGATTATTTCAATCTCAGTTAGGTTGTGTTAGGGAAAAGCCAGACCTCAAAATAATACTTTTTGAATGCCTTGAAAGAACCCAGAATGGTCTCTTATTTATTTTAAAGACGCTAGACACATTCAGTATTTTCTAAGTGAAGATACACAAGAATGTCCTGTTTCTGACAAAGTTGATTCAAATCCTCCTTTTCTTCATAGCTAGTCTCCTGCCCCTGCCCTCGGAATCAGTGTTCATAGGTAAAACGGCCTCTATAAGCAGTTTGTACAAATGCTAAGTCCAAAATATTTCTGAATTTAAGGAAAGTTATACTGTACATCTGTAACAGTGTCTCAGCACAGTCTTAAATTCTAGGCTCCCTTGCAGTAAATCTACATGTAGATGATAACTGTTCTTGTTTTTCCTAGCTTTGTGAAGAAGACACATTTACTGTTCTTGGAGAGCTCCACAGATGTGGCCTAACAGAGACTGAGACATGCTTAAAGATGGTAGCCCTTGATATCAACGGAGGCCAGACTGTAAGTACCCAAACTGAATAGTGGTGTAATGCCACAGAATGTTAATTTTTATGGGGTTCAATAGATTCCTGATACTTTCATACTGCATCATTTCCGCTAACTCAAAATTTCACAGAGTTATAAAATAGCAAAAACACGGAAAGGTAATACTTATTCAACTTAATTCCTAATTTTTAGAGTTTTATTAAAAGAGTACAGGGCTCAGTTAACCCTCAGTAAAAGTGAATTTAAAAGAAATAAAGTATATACAAGTTTTTTTTCACCAACATAATAAAATTATGACAAGATAAGAGTCGAAATTTCCGGAAGCAAGCAACTCTTTACCGTAAGCCAATACGTGAGATAGGATTCAGCACAGAGTAGAAGACAAAGTTGTAAATATTTTACCTGTTTGAGATCAGTTAAAAGCAGTGGAAGGTTCAGTCAATTACTTATGTTACTACCTTTTCTTCCCCTTTATCTTTCAATAACAAACTCTGGGGAGATCACTAGAGTTTGATGGTGTCATCCATATAATTAAACACTGCTATACATTATTCTGCAGTGAGAATTATTGTTATTAATCAGTTATTATTAATGTGTTGGGTAAATCACATATGTTGGGTTACCCCAGGTGAATTAGATTAATAATACTCAGTTTGTACTTGTCATGTGCAATTTTCTGTTATGCACCTTGATGAGAAATTGTCTAAAATAGTACATTTATTAAAGGTCATGTGTCGGAGAAGTAATCTAGCAGTATTCCTTTCCTTGGCCATTGTGCAAATTTACAGTGGCAATACCTGACTGCAACCATCTCAGAAGAGGCTCTGTGTCCATGAAAGGCAAAGTAACCTAGTTTCTGCAAATGCTCGGTTAGGGAATAACCACAAAACAGATTTTCAGTGGTTGGGAAAGTCTGCAAAATGAGGGACGGGAAGGGGTGGGGAAGAAGGGAAATTACCACCAGAGATGCATACATCATAAAACCAAGCATTGTCAGCGTGGATTGCTCAAGGCCTAAAGGGGATCTCATTTTTCTGTCTTTACCATTTTATGAAAAGAATATCATTGCACTGATTATTACTCTTTTTCACTAGATCATTGTGATCAGCCCTAACGGTGATGTATTTTTTAACTGGCTCTATACTCAGCTGCCTATCTCAGCAGGTATGTTGCACACCAGAAACATCTGGCTTCCAGTGTGACCTTAAAATTTTGGGATATCAGAAATGAGTGCAGCACAAAACCCAATAGTTACTGTTTACCTTATTCAACTAAACTAGTTCTTCTGGGAACAGAAAGTTGTTGTAGAAGAAAGTTGTAGAAGACTCTTTTCCTAAAAAGAAAGGATGCTGTAATGGCTATGTAATTACTGTAATTACAATAATGTATTATATGAAAGATTGCCTTTGAAAAGTAATCTAAAACTTTGGCTGTTCATTCTAGGGCCAAATATTAACCTGGATTTGCCATAATTAGCTTATTTCACCTATACTTCACCTGATAGTCAGTAGCTCCCCGTTTGCTTCCAGTAACACATCAAACTGCTGGAGTTTACTGTAAGGCTCTAAATCCGGGGTGGGCAACATTTTCATCTGCCAAGGCCACATGTGCTGGCAGGTGGTGAGTTGGGGGTCATATTCATGTGTGCACACATGCATTCATACATTCAGATACTCTTCCATATACTCAGCATGCTGGGATGGGGAGATTTAAATGTGGTCTCGGTTTTCAAAGGCTCTCCATACTAGGATGAAGAAGTCCTCCCAGCATGCTAAATAATTATTTGGCTGCTTGGAAGAAGTGAAACCTTCCTGTGGTGGGATCACTGAGCTGGGGGTGATCAACCCCCCCCCCCAAATGATCCTGATCAAAAGCACTACTTGAACCCAGCAATCTGTTTCCTGCCACCAACCTGGTGAATGATAGCTGAGTAATGTAGGAATGCATTGGGGACAGCTCCAAGGGTATCGTGGAGGATGCCTGAGGCCTACATGCAGGCTGTGGCGATGCATTGCCCACAAGTGCCACATGTCCACAGCCAGGGTTTCTGAAGATTGCCATCTCCCATATGACCCTCCTCATCACTTGAGGGCCTCTGGGGAAACTCTTCCCATGATGCCCTTTGGCTAAATCAGTAGCTGCCCCATATAAGGTCTTTTCCTTGTTCACACTGTATCAAGAACAGAGTTTGATTGGGTTGTTGGTTGGGAACATGCTGAAAGTGATCACACAGCTGCTCCAGGTTATATTGAGCCCTGCACATCTCCACAGTAACCCATGTTCTCAACCCTACCTATGTGATTGCATCACCTGACCTTCCCAGAATTTTCCTTTCTTGAGGAAATGATCATAGTAACAGCTTCAAACCTCATGTATTTTTTTTATCTGCAGCTAATGTAACCATCTTCAAACCATCAAATTTCTTCCTTATTGTGGACTCAAACTTTGGACTTCAACTAGTGATCCAGCTCATCCCCTTGATGCAATTGTATATTCATCTGGATCCATCTTTCAAACAGAAGACCTGTGGTAAGCTTGCTTGCTTGCTTATTTATTTCTTTTTGAAGTTATATCCCTGGATCCAAAGTAATTTCCTAAAGTCAAACTCTTTGGATTTGTTTGAAAGGCCTTTGTGGAAACTTTGACAACCGCCAGAGCAATGACTTCAAAGCTGTAAGTGGAGTGGTAGAAGCAACAGCACCGGCATTTGCCAACACTTGGAAAACTCAGGCTGCATGTCCCAACATCAAGCAAAATTTTGAGGACCCGTGCACACTGAGCATTGAAAATGGTAGGCGTGTGTTAAAGATGGCAAGAAAAGCACACATTGTCTTACTTTATGACTGGGTTCACATGGTACAGCAACCCACTATGATGGGCTCTCACATTGTCCGGATCTAGATATAATTCTACCTTTCTCTTGCCTAGCTAATGGAGGAAACGAAATAATGTTCTTGTTCTTGTTTTTCACAACCAACTGAAAATCAAAAAAGAAAGAAAGAAAGAAAGAAAGAAAGAAAGAAAGAAAGAAAGAAAGAAAGAATAAGGGAAATGGAAGGGAAATTGGGGAAAATAAATACAGGACTTTGCAAATCAAGATTCTGTGACCATAGTCTAAAAGAGAGGCAAGTCTGCTTAAGCCCATTGAAGTAAGTGGATTGTGTCCTCTGAGTTTTGCAGTTAGTCCATCAACTGCCAACTCTATTTTGTGTCTGTGTGTAGGCATGTCAGTCTGTGTATCTATAGCCTGCATATATTAAGTAACTGATTGATTCCCATCTCAGGCCATGGTTTTAGTAAATACTGCTGTGAATAATAAAAGAATTGCTTTAATACCTTAAACTACAATCAGAGTTTAGTTGCACTAAAAGCTGCCAGTTATACCTAGAAACACCTGCAAGTAATATGGATTAATTTCTTTTCTTTTTAGAAAAATATGCCCGTCACTGGTGTGGATTGCTGATTGCCTCTGAAGGACCTTTCGCCAAATGCCACCCTTCAGTGAATCCAGCTTCTTATCATAAGGTACTAGGGTAGCTATTAAGTCTCATTTAAACATCGATGTTGGTTGGACATTAAGATTATCTATCAGGAAAGTAACACACTCAAAGGGCTGGAACAAAATGGTGTCATTGAGATACCATAATCCGTTGTGGGTCAATGGGAACGTCATTGGGTTTAGGGATGAAACACAGTATGAGACCACACAAGGGGAAGCAGAAATCAATATTTGGGGAGGCAGTTGTGAGTCAGGATAAAACTGGCAAGGGAATAAGGGAGCTGAGCGTTGGGCAACAAATATGGGACATATCAAGAGAGAATTTGGTAGAAGGAAAAGCTTAAACGGAAATCATTTGGAGGAGGTACATTTTAATAACATAATTTCCCCCTGTCCTAGAATTGCATGTTTGACACGTGCAACTGCGAGAGGAGTGAGGACTGCATGTGCGCAGCCCTATCTGCATATGTCAGAGCCTGTGCAGCCAGAGGAGTGGAACTCCCAGGATGGAGGACCAACGTCTGTTGTAAGTTCAGAGCAGCCATCCCAATTTTCAGATGAAACTCCCTGCCAATGAATTCCATCACTTTCTAAGCCATCCTGGATTCTTCTAGTGGCACTTTGCCGGAACTAAATTCTGGCCACACGTTTTTGCAACTATTCTTCAGCTAGTCGCATTTCTAGAAAAAGACAGTTTCAGCTAAAGTGTTTTTTTTGTAATGCACTATATTCAGGAATGTCTTTGAAAAACATCCAGAAGCTACAACTGGTTCAAACTATGGCAGCCACATTATTGTCTGGGTACCATGTACCGGAAACATTGCTGATTCTCTTCTCTACATTGGCCGCTGTTTTCTTCTGGACACAACTCCAAGTACTGGTCTTGAATATCTGAAGGACTGCCTCTACCTGTGCATTTAGATCAGGGCCATAGAACCTATTTCAGCTCAAGGGCCTAATTCTATTTTGGGGATGCTCTGGGGGTGGGGATGGGTTCCAGTGGTAGGCAGAGGTGAAGGCAAAATGGGTAGGACCTTGAAACTAAAAGTACCAGTTTAAAGAGCCTCTGGCTATGGGGCGGCATGCAAATACAGTACAATACAATACAATACAATACAATACAATACAATACAATACAATACCTACCAGTTTGAGCTCTTGCTGTCAGCAGTAAAATCATATGAGAGGCATTTCAACATTTTAAAGTGTGGGGGTAGGTGGCACAAAAGCTAGAAAACCACCAAATCATTGCTGGCTAGGGGGAAAGGGGCAGACCCAGGAGAGGGTGGCATGGCTTTCTGAGGAACATGGGGGGCTAAACTGCCTCCACCCGTAGGGGCTGGATTGGCCTGCTGGACCTGAGGTTCCATAGTCCTGATACAGAATAAGAGCTGAGACCCTGCTCCATGACAGTTTGGCACCAAGGAAAGGGCCTTTTGAGTTGTGGCACCTAACAAGTCAAATGCTCTTTGGATTTGGCTCCAGAGATTACCTCAATGTCTTAGTGTAATGAGGTGTAATCCAATGGATATGAGCATGAGCCTCCAAACTCGGAGGCTCCTGCTCATCCAGTGTAGAACAGCAAGAGGGCTTCACCTCCCAGCTCCTCCCATTCTGCTTTTTCACGAGGCAGCTGTTTTCAGGTGTCTAGCAACAGTGCCTCAGAGGGAGAGGGGAGGAGGCCAAGTAGCTCAGGATACCTTGTATTCAGGCCACCCAAGCCTCCTCCCCTTCCTGACCCCCAAACATCCCCTTTACTCCCTTCCCAAGGTTGTTTTCCCCACCTTGTAGTGCACCTGGAGCTGGTGGGAGAGGGGAACAGAGCTCTAATTCCCAAATCCAAGGATAGACTGCTGGCTCCCACTTCAGGGCCAGGAATACAAATTATCCTACCCTCACCCCACCCAACAATGCCAATGGGCTATACTCTCCATCTGTGTTGTCTTGTTGCTTTGATGTTTTAGCTGTTTCATTTTTCTTATTGTCTTGGATCAAAAGAAAAACACACAGTACACAGTGCTACCTTGGCTCACGAACTTAATCTGATCCACGACTCTGGTTGCTACCTGAACTGGTCGCAAGCCAAGTCAAATTCCCCCATAAGGTTCAATGTAAATAAGTGTAATCCATTCTGTAAATATTGTTTTAAATCACAGGGAAGACGGGCACAACCGTGGGTGCACTGGGGGGTGGGGAGACAGGCGTGATTGCAGGTGCACTTGGGGGGTAGACGGGCACAATTGTGGACATCTTCCCCCCCCCCGAGCATGATTGTGGTCATCTCCCCGCCCCCCGAGCACGACCATGATTGTGCCCATGCAGGGAAGATCACGATCATCACCCAATGTGGAGTTTACAACCTGAGTCAAAATTTTTCTGAAATTTCTGTTCACGAGCCAATTCGATTGTGAACTGAGGCATTCATGAACTGAGGTACCACTGTATCTGGCAGAGCATGGAATCTAGATGGGGGAGTGTAGAATCTTTGCATGTAAATAATGCTTCTCTTTTCCTGATTCCCTCCGTTAAGCAAAATACACCACTTCGTGCCCCAGATCCCTGAATTACAGTTATTCCATCAGTTCCTGTCAAACCACTTGCCGATCGCTGAGTGAACCTGATGTCACCTGCAGTATCAAATTTGTCCCAGTTGATGGATGTGCATGTGAAAGTGGAACCTACATGGATGATTCTGGGGAATGTGTGCCTGCTAACAAATGCCCCTGTTATTACAAAGGAACACCTGTACTCTCTGGTGAAGTTCTCCATGACCACGGTGCTATGTGGTAAGAGGATTCAAGTGACAGTCTAACATCATCATCATTATTGTTATCATCATCCTCAGAATTCATCTCATAAGTAATTCTGATCTCTAGAATGGGTTTGCATTTTTCACAAAAATCTTCTATAATGCAATGATTATTTTTTCCATATCCTACAAAGATGGACTAAAATCCCTGAATGCATAAAGAATAGCTGATTTTTGAACAATTTAATGGCAGTTATGCTTGGATTTTCCGACTCCAACTATCCCTGTATTATTGGTATATCTGGATTACACGAAATCCCACTAATTCTTCCACTCTTTGTAGGGCATTTTTTTCAGGGTGAAATGATAGATTTATAAAATCCAGGTGCTGAGTTTTGAAACACAGCAGCAAAGTGAAGCTTGTTCGTTCTAAGATAATATAAATAATCAAGAATAATTTCCTGTTCTTTCACACAGCACTTGTAGCCAAGGAAAGTTGAACTGCATTGGTAGTGGAGACTCAAAGCCAGGTAAGGAAGCCCTCTCTCTCTAGCTATCTCTCTGTCTCCCTCTCTCTCTCTCTCTCACACACACACACACACGCACAATATCATTGTGTTATCTGATTTAAACCAGTCCAGTCAACATTGAGTATGCAAGAAAGTCAGTTCTACAAAAACTGGTTTTTTCACTTCTCTGCAGAGTTCCTTGGAACCAAGGTCTGCCGAACAAAGTAGAATAAAATTGTGCAGGAGTGGCTGCAGTTTAATGTTTGCATTAGCACCCACCACCTTTATTGTGTAGATGGCTACCAAGAGACAAAAAACAATAAACTGGGAATGCACTTATTGCATTTTGGCCAGAAGACCACATTCGTTAAAAGTTGCATATTGGAACAAGTGTCCCTGCAGATGGTTGCTGAAGTCACAGCATACTCTCTTGAGTAGTTTGCTTAATTTTCCTCAGTACATTGGCATCCAGTGTCTGTACCTTCATCACCTACGCTATGCTTTCTTTCTCTTCCTGCTAGTGTGTGCTGCCCCCATGGTCTACTTTGACTGCAGAAACGCCAGCGCAGGCAGCACTGGAGCCGAATGCCAGAAGAGCTGTCAGACTCTTGATATGCATTGTGTAAGTGTGCAGACACAGGTTTAGGCAGTGTCTAAGAAACTGTGCTGTAAACAAAATTGCTTGCCTCTGCCACAAACGCATCAGTTGTGTTTTGGCAAGCCTAGCCTTCCCCATGCCCCAACTCCATTGACAAATGTCTAATGTACATATAAAGCTCTGTATAAAAAAGGGTGTTTTTGTCTCTTCAGTGCCTGGGAACACTGCCCATGCACCAAAGTTAGTGGATCAGTTGCTGAAATCTTTGTTGAATTCTCACAGCACATGTTCAATTTAATATGAGTCATGTAATCACCCCCACCTTTAATGGGAGATCAAAGTAAATTCTATGATTATCGGTAATTATCTGCTCCTTTCTGACATTATGCATTCTTCTTGGCTGTTACAGTATACCACACAGTGTATCTCTGGCTGCATGTGTCCCTCTGGGTTGGTTTCAGATGGTAAAGGTGGCTGCATTGCTAAGGAAGAGTGTCCATGTATTCACAACGATGCCACTTATAAGCCAGGAGAAAAGATCAAAGTTGACTGTAACACCTGGTAAGTATTGGCTTAAGAAGAGTTTTCCTCTTGCTGCCATCATTCTTGTGCATTTCAAAAATGATCTAGTTTATGAAAATATATGATCAAGTTCATAGAATTGTAGACTAATAGAGTTGGAAGGGGACAAGAAGGCCATCTGGTCCAACCCCCTGCTGTTGTAGGACACCAATTTACACCATCCCACTCAGATGACTGTCCAGTTTTGCCTTGAACGTCTCTAGTGTGGGAGAGCCCACAACCTCTTGGAAATGGGTTCCACTGTCGTATTGCTCTGACAGTGAAGAAACTTTTCATATGTACGTAGCTTGAATCTGGATTGTCACAACTTGAGCCAATTTCTCCATGTCCTACACTCTGGTATGTGCAAGAAAAGATCCTGTGCTCCCTCTTTGTGACAGTCTTTCAGGTATTTCAGGTACAAGTTGAATAACAGGTTGACCTGAGGCCATTTTAGATATCTCTTTTTTCATGCACACCTGAATAAATGGATGACCCCATCCCTATGGCACCTCTAATGCAACTTTAGGAAAGAGTATTTATGTATTTGTATTAATAATTGCATATGCCACTATCAAAAGAAAATTCTTCTAGGGACGCTTTGACAAAATACACATCAAACAAAAGACATTGAAAATACAGTAGCAGAACAATGGTTAAAGTTCTTGAAAAATGCTGGAATACTAAAGAGTTCATCTGGTGCTGAAAAGATGGCATCATGGATTCCAGATGAGCCTCTCTGGGCATTCCACAAGTGGTCATAAACATTGAGTTGATCTTGGCCCTAGATAGCACCCACAGCACCTCATTCAGGAGAAGCACACAAACAAGAATCCTGACCATGACCTCAATGTACAGGCAGGCTGATGTGTGGAGCCAGAGCAGCAATCCACAAAACTGGAGTCATGACTTGGTAATAGACATCTCTCTTCATACCACCATGTACTAAATGGCATGATTGTACACAGAAGTGGTGCCTTTCTGGTTGTCCCTCACCACCCCCTGCCTTTGTGGACCTATGCTTGGGAGGTCTGAGAGGGCATCTACTGGGCCAAGAAGGGAGATGGTGGAGGTTCCAGTTAGCATAGTGACAAGTAGGGAGAGATATGGTGCTGGAAGGAGGACTGGCCAGGTAAGGGGAATGCAGCCCAGACAGCTAATGGTTGTGCTGTGTTCCAGACCTTCCTGCACCAGTATGTTTGATGGTTGCCATGTCAGCCAACCCTTGGGTCTCTGGATGCTACTTCTAAATGCCAGATTGGTGCAGAATAAAACCTTCCTCATCTACAATCTAAACTGGCGTGTATAATGGAGATATCGGTCGGTGAGCAGGGAGGAGTTAGTCTCTTCCAGTTGTGTCCACCTGGGTACTTGGATCAGCATCAGGGTAGCTATGAGCACCAGGGTGGGAGTTAGCTTGGTCTATAGGAATTCCATCTCTCTCCAGGTGCCCTCTGTCTGATGGCTAGTCTGGTGTGTTTGTCCCTTGTGCTGGGCCACTGGCACAAATTGGGGATTCTGCTGGTGTACCACCCACCCTGCAATCCATCAGTCTCCCTACCTGAGCTGATGGAGGTGGTCTCAGAGTTCCTGAGGCTGTTGGTCTTGGGGGACTTCAACATTCATGCTGAGGGCACCCTATTCAGGGTGGTTTAGGATTTCATGGTCACCATGACAACCATGGGAATGGCCCAACACATGTGGCGGGGCATATTCTAGACTTGTTCTTCTTGGCTGGATGTGAGGATGGTGTTCTGAATGTGAGGGACTTTGGCTCAGTTCCTTTGTCATGGTTGGATCACCACCTGTTGAAACTTAGACTTATGGTGGCTTTTCCCGTCCACCAGGGTGGAAGACCCTTAAGGTGGTCTTCCTTTGGAGGCTAACGGATCCAGATGGTTTCAAGAGCACTTTGGGAGGTTTCCAGCTGACATGGTTGTTGCTCCTGTTAAAGCCCTGGTTGTTCTGTGGTACATAGAAATGACCCTGATATCACTCCTAAGCTTACTCTTTATTGTAGAGCTCTTACAGCTCCATGGTATACTCAGGAGGTGAGACTGATGAAACAAGTTAGGAGATGGCTGGAGTGCCAATGGAGGAGAACTCCCAGTGAATGTGCCAGAAACCTGCCATGGGCCTACAGTTGGGTATATTTTCAGACAGTGAAGGCAGCAAAGAAGGCAGCAAAGCCTCTATTCAGTCCTCTCTGTGCTGCCCAGAGGAGCTTTTCAAGGTTGTCTGGAGCTTATTACATTCTGGCCCCAGGGACCCCTTGGAACCATCTCTGGCCCACTGTAATCTACGTGCTGGGCATTTCCAGGAAAAGGTCATCCAGGAAGGTCATCAATGCCTCTTTGCAAGAGGGAGTGGTCCCATGCTGCCTTAAAGAGGCAGTGGTGAGACCACTTCTCAAGAAAACCTCCTTCTCAAGAAAACCTGGGAAATTTGAACAACTACAGGCCGATAGCAAATATTACTTTCCTGAGCAAGGTTCTGGAGAAGGTGGTTGCCAATGAAACTGATTATCTGGACTCATGTCATCCATACAATAAAATGGATGGAGATCTGGTTTTAGCACAGAAACAGCCTTGGTCACCATGTATGATGACCTCTGCTGGAAGTAAGACGGGGAGTGTGACCCTGCTGGTACTGCTGGACCTCTCGCTGGCTGTCAGTACCATTGCAAGTGGTATCCTTCTCAAGCAGCTGGCCAAGGTGAGGGTGAGGGGCACTGCCTTGCAGTGGTTCTGCTCCTGTTTGGAGGGTCACCTCCAGAAGGTGGTGCCTGGGGAATATTGTTCAACCCCATGGATTCTCCAGCATGGAGTTCCTCAGGAGTCTGTTCTGTCCCCCATGCTATTTAACCTCTACATGAAACTACTGCATGGGGTCATGCAGTGTTTTGGAATATGCTGCCATCAGTATGATGATGACACACAGTTCTATTTCTCCTTTTCATTGTCAACGCATGAGGCTGTGGATGTGCTAAACTGGTGACTGCAAAAAAGGGACTGGATGAGGACTAACATACTCAAACTCAATCCAGACGAGCCTGAGATGCTGTTGGTGGGTGATTTCCTTGACCAGTTGGGGAGCGTTCGATCTGTTTAAGACGGGGCCACACTCCCTCTGAAGAAGCAGGTTCATAGCTTGGGGGTGCTCCTTGAGCCATCTTTGTCACTTGAGATTCAGGTGGCATTAGTGGCTCAGAGTGCTTTCTGCCAGCTTCGGCTGGTGGCCCAGTGTGCCCCTACCTGGACAAGGATAGCCTGGCTTCAGTAATCCATGCTCTGTGGATTAGATTAATCTCGACATTAGATTATTGCACACACTTATATGGGGCTGTCCTTGAAGATGGTTCAGAAACTGCAGCTGGTGGAGAATAAGGCAACCAGATGAATCACTGGGATCCAGAAGTCCAAACCCATAAGACTCATTCTGGTACACTTGCATTAGCTGCCTGTATGCTTCTAGTCACAATTCAAGGTGCTGGTCTTAACCTATAAAGCCCTACATGGCTTGGGACCAGAATACCTGTTAGAGTGCCTCTCCCAATCCCAATCCCAATCCCAGTCCCAATGAAATAGTGCTTTATCATTTCAGAAGAGATCAGGAAGGTTTTATGAGAGCAGCCCTGCGATATTGCATGATATGGAACACTGAACTTTCAATATACTTGAATGGTCTAAACTTTACACTATGTATGTATGAAAGAAAATAGAGCATTAATTGCTTTCAATTTCTCCCTTTTTGACTTTTCATAGAGCTTATACAAAACCATCATCATAATCTATAGGTACTTCAAGATATATTTCATTCAGCTGTGCTCTGCAGGGCTAAAATGTCTTATGTGAAGTGAATGCATGGCAGCTTCTATTCGTGTTAACAGAAGGGTCCTTGAAATGATACATGTTTGCTCTTTTTTTAGTGTATGTAAGAACAGGATGTGGGAATGCACGAAGGACAAGTGCCTAGGTACCTGTGCTGTTTATGGAGATGGACACTATATCACCTTTGATGACAAGCGTTATATTTTCAATGGGAAGTGTGAATATACACTGCTGCAGGTATCGTGCAACTCCCTAGGCATTATCAATGGAAAAATAACCTGTATCCACCATGGAAGGAAATAACCTCTTTTTCCTTCTACCTTCTCCCTCCTTAGAATTACTGTGGACAGAACAGCTCTGCCCAAGGAACATTCCGAATAATCACTGAAAACATTCCCTGTGGCACAACTGGAACCACTTGTTCAAAATCAATTAAAGTGTTCTTTGATGTGAGTAGCATCATTCATGCATCCAAGTCCCACTGGAAGCCTACATTTCCTTGGGGTTGCCTGAAGCTGCCCTCCGGGTTCCAGCCTTTTATTTTGGAGCTTGTAGCTAACCATTTAAAACTCACTTAAGTAACATCCTGGGCATTTCCCCACACACTGTTGTGGGTACCCATGCACAGAGGGATGAGCTGTTAGTTTTCCTAGGTGGGAACAGATATGGAGGCATCTCAGTGCATGTGAGCACACATGGAAGCAGCACACTGCCCGGTCTCTGATTATTGCATCTATGCACATGTGCCCATGTGTTGTTGTGCTTATGGATGGGGAGGAACACATCTCTGTCAATCCCTGTTGATATTCCTGCATGGGCAGAACAGATCTTCCATGCAAGAAGAATTATGCCATTAAAATTTTTGCACCATAGGTAAGCTTGTCTTCCAGGAACTAAAACATTTTATTGCTTAAAGCTTAGATATTTCAGTTACTGTAGACAATATTGCTTTTACTGAATAAGTGATTAGTTGTATGCAATCAATACTAGTTTTAATTTTTCCTTAAATATGTCAAGATTTTTGTCAAGCTAAAGAAATAAATAAACCAGATTAGTATAATAAATAACTGTACATTAAGAATATTATTTAACTTTAGTTGTTTTAGTTGAAAAATTGCAGGCTTTTAAAATATTATGACTCTTTATTCTATTATTTATTTTGTTCACCCAGAACTATGAACTGATACTCAGTGAGGAACACCATGAAGTGGTACAAAGGAGTAATGGGACCAGCCTCCCCTTCAGTATTCGCAACATGGGCATCTTTTTGGTTATTGAGACCAGAGATGGGCTGATCCTCTTATGGGACAAGAAGACCAGCATATCTATCAAATTGAGCGCTCATTTCAAGGTGGGTCATTCTCTACAATCCAAGTATGCTTTGCATAGCATCACACCTATACATCTGCTCCTTATCTATCTTGAGTTTAAAAACTCAGTCCTTGGATGTAAAACCCATTGTTATGAATGAAAATAGCTTTCATTTATGCATGTTTAGGATCACAGCCCAAAAGCTATTTTTCATCATTTAGACATCCTGCGGAGGCCAACTGAAACTGTCTTCAAAAGGGGTCTGCTCCACAATGGGGGTCATTTTGTACCATCTCCTCAGCCTCTGTTGGTTCTTGCTGTATGGGCTTGCCTTCTGCTACTGCAGGCCACCAACAGGAATGTTTGCAGATAGCAGGAGTTTCATCCTGTATGGCCCACTCCACGTGACCGTTGCTCCCACGTGCAGGTAGCTTCCACCTTGCAGTCATTGTAACACGTATGCTTGAGATACAGGAACGCAGTTTCACTTTGCATGAATAGCTGTCTGCAATCCCACTTCGACCATTTCTGCTGGTTGTTAGTTTATTTTTTAGAAGGTTGAAGCTGCCTTTCGGGGCATTCTGTGTCCATAACAGAGCTGGAGAACGCTGGTGACCCGGCCCTCCCCAACAGCCTTTTCCCCCAGCCCTTCGAATATGCCTCACAGAGGGTTCGGAGAGCCTGCTAAATGATTCAAACTGGAGCACAGGCAGACTGAGGGGGAACGGGGACGTTTCCTGAGACATGAGTAGAGGCACTTTCCACAAGCAGACCTCCTATGTGCAAGAGGTGCCTCTGCAGTTTTCAAGAGCATTAATGCTTCTCAATGAAGCACTGATTGTGTACCTATCATTCCCTACTCACAGTCCCTCACAGGTTCTTTAGATGATGCTGCGACCCTCCAGTTTCACTTCTGTTTTTATGAGCCTCTTACAGAAGATAAAACATGGCATTATTTGAGAAACTGAAAGAACACACTTTTTCCTCTAGTGGAACTGCATCATTCCACTATATTACAGTGCCACCTAGAAGTTGTCCAGCAGAAAAGCAGTGCTTCACAATCCTGTGAAGAAACTGAAAAGAGAGACAGCAGACCTCAATCTCCCCCACCCCACCCATGCAACCCCACCCATCCCACGCAGCAGCAGCCCCTGACTCTCTGTGTAGAGTTTGGGGGCAGAGGAACTGGGGAGTCTGCTATAAAGAGTAGGGAAGTCTGCTTCTACCAGCCCTGTGACACAAGCAAAACTCTGGATCTACCCCATAACCATTGCAGTGACCATTCAAACTACTGCAAAGTATCACATGGCATCCTCATTCAACTAAAAGAATGGAATAGCCAGGTCTTTAAGGCTTATTTAAAAGCAAGGTGGTGGGGAAGCTAAATGCCTTTCCTCATGAAGGAATGACAGAGTGATGGTGTTACCCACTTACCCAGATGGCACATGAAGGTGGGTTTTATCTAGATACGTGTTCAACAGAGTATAGAAAGGTATAGAGTGGCAATTTCATCGGTTCTTCCCATGCCCTCTCCCTTTTTCCCCTAAAATGCTGCTCTGGAGGCTTGGGGAACCTCTGGAACAGTGCATGAATAACTCTGGGGACTGCAGGGGGAATCAGTGGAAATCATTACTGATGCCAGCACTAGTGCTTATGATGTTGCACTAGCATAAATCAGTGCTTGTGCAATGCAATTACCACATAATGGGGCAATACAGGAGCAATTTGCTGGAGAAAAACTGGATCTTAGCTCTGGCCCCCTTCTATACCTGGGAGCTTTTACTGACCTATGCTTCCCTCTATAAAGGAAATTAGTCTTGCCATTCACAATCCATAGAATTTTTCCAGTATCACTTAAGCACCTGGTAAGTGTCCAAGTGAACAAATGTTATACCAACAATATTCCTTCAGTACAAATATATGCAGTAGTTGGTTTTCAGCAGAATATACAGTGGAGATAGAACAGGTTGTGTGAACAAGTACTAATTCCTGTATTCCATAAACGTCGAGACAAAATTCTGTGTTTATCCTTTTATTCTAAGACTTCAAATGATCTTTATTGGAAAAATAATCTACATTCAGGTGCACAAGACTAATATCCTTGGAGCTAAAAGAAATGAATACATTTTGCAATTGTAAGGGGGCCATTCTATGCATAAACCACAATCCTGTGCATGTTCAGGTAGAAAAAGTCGTGCAATTTCTAGCATTCCCCACACAGCCACTATTATATGACTTTTTCCTATCTAAACATACAGGGGATTGTGACCTAAATGGAAAGACAAACTTTAAGCGGGTCTAAGAGGTTCATGAACCTTACCTATAACTCTATTATTTTATTTGCTCCTTTGTGCAGGGTCATGTCTGTGGCTTATGTGGGAACTATGATGGCAATGGAATTAATGACTTTACAACCCGGAGTAAGTCTGTAGTAGGTGATGTGCTAGAATTTGGAAACAGTTGGAAGGTATCTCCTACATGCCCCGATGCCAAATGTGTAAAGGACCCCTGCTCCAAGAACCCTTACAGAAAGTCCTGGTCACAGAAGCAATGCAGTATCATCAACAGCAAGGTCTTTGCTGCCTGCCATTCTCAGGTATGCCAAATTATCAAGGCAGAATTTTCCCAAAGATTAAAATTCATTCTAGTGGGACACATTTAATATCATGTCTAGTTTGGGCCACATACCTATTTTTCTGGAAACTAACATTCTACAACTGTAAACTCCAAACAGACATGTTTTTACCTGGTGTTTTGAAGCAGTTGTCACTAGTGGACACATTCGTGAAGACAACACATGCTGCTTCCATTTCTTAATAGGTGGAGCCAACTAAATATTATGAAGCATGTGTGATTGATGCCTGTGCTTGTGACACTGGAGGAGACTGTGAATGTTTCTGTACAGCTGTGGCTGCCTATGCCCAAGCATGCAGTGAATCTGGAGTGTGCATCTCATGGAGATCACCATCAGTCTGTCGTGAGTACTAGTTCATGCTTGAATAGACAGTGAAAGTTTAAAACTAGCTCCAAGGCATTTTTCCTCATTGGATGTGAGAATGCAATGAATGTAATATTACACTTAATAGTGAGTACAGTGCAGGAGAAAATACCAGGATTGTGCAGCAGTATGTATCTACCAGAAATTGACAACCACCCAATATATGATGGCAAATTGATGGCTGGTATTGCCATGCCGCAATAATTACAAATAGTTCATTCAATTGCATTAGTATTCAATATTGCATTTATACCTGTGCAGTGTGACTTCTGATCAACGTATGGATTGTTTTTAGAATATTTCGTTGTGGGATCCATAATTTTTTTAATAGTACAGGGAGTAAGATGCATCCCTATTGGAATACTGGGCTCTTCATATTTTTCTTGCTTCCTTTAGCAATGTTCTGTGACTATTACAATACTGAAAGTGAATGTGATTGGCACTACAAGCCTTGTGGAGCACCATGCATGAAAACGTGTAGGAACCCCAGTGGGAGATGCCTTTATCATTTACCGGGCTTGGAAGGTAAGAAGACTTCTACCATCTTATTTATATTTTCATTATATTTATTTCCCATCTTTCATCCTGCAAGAATTCCAAGGCAGCTCATGTAATTCTTCGGCTCTCCATTTTATCCTCATAATCACCTTGTAATATAGGCTAAGCTGAGAGGCAGTGACTGGCCCAAAGTCACCCACTAAGCTTCATCACTGAGTGGAGACTATAAACTGGATCACTTGAAACTCAGTCCTACACTTTACCCACTATACAACACTGTCTCTCAGTATGTATTTACTGTGCCAATTACTGTACAACATGCAATAAATGTTAGTTTATCTTCTTCAGTTCCAGTAGATGCCTTTTATTTGGTTTCCATTAGCTTATCTAAGACCAAGACAAGACCTCATGTAAGAGATTTTATAGAGAAAATGACAAGCATCAGCATTATACTGGTCTTTTTTCCTTTACGATGGTCATTAGAAGCTTCAGGAAGGAGAGCACTTTACTTATCAGGCAAACAGCATGGGAACAAGTCTTGGAGAGTTCCTTGACACAACTATATTAAAAATGTAGATTCTGGAGATGGAATGGGAATTCAGAAATGGCATACCATCACAGAGAAGCTCCTCTCAGTAAAATTAACCTTCTTTCAGAACGTGGGGGCACCCAGAGCGGAACCTTTATTTAACATTCAGGCAGATTCATACGAGTGCAGCTGACCCTTCAGATAGCCAGATCCCAAACTGTGCAAGGCAGAGAAAGGAAACTGCAAGTTAAATGCAGCCCACAAAGATTCTCCATCCAACTGGACTTCTCCCAAAGCCTCAACTTCTTCCCAAGGCCATGGGAGTGATATCCCTGCTGTTACTTCCTATTTGCAATTAGTGATAATATTCCCTCTAAGGTGCTCTTAGGCCCCCCAGTCAGGAGGGAAAGTTGCATGCAGTGGAGTCCCCACTGTTAGTTCTTATTATTACACTTATATCCTGGCTTTTCTCCTCTTGGAAAGAACCCAAGGTGCTGCATGATAACCCTCTGCCTCCTCACCACTGTATCCTTATAGCAACCTTGTGGGAGTCGAGACCAAGAGCCAGAGACTGTCCTAACTTTCCTCATGGCATTATTATGTGGGTATGACCGAAAAGGGACTCGAACCTGAGCGTAGCTCTCCATTCCAACTGGAGGGGGAACAGCTCACTAAGTGCTTCAGCTTCCTGGCTTTCTCCCAGTGAGGAAAGGCACAGGCCACCCTGATTGAAGTATGGGGTAGGGGAGCCCTGTACCCCATGCCTCAGTCAGGTATGGCTTTGCTACATGTTCCCTGACCAAGGCGCTGGCGCAAGGGGGACTCCTTCCCCTCACCCCTCAGGGGGGTCATCTTTGCCAAACCAGTCATGCACATAATGTAGCTGGACACTGGTTCACTCTGGGAGGCAAGGCATGCCCCTGTCATCAGGCACATGGCCCTGTACCATCTGGCCTTTTAGGAAGTCTACAAGGACAAGCCACATTTGGGACAACCCACCCCAATGCCTTGACACCCCTGGTGGAAGGCCTTATAGCAGCCTGGCTCAACCCAGTATCCTTGAAAAGAATGAGGCAACCACTTCCAGCATTTCTCAGCTAGCACGATAAAAAAGGAGAAGAAATACAGATGAAATAGGACTGCTTTTTCTCCAATGCATTTAATATGCTCTACTTCTCCCACTCACCCTTCCTTTCTCTCAGGCTGCTATCCATACTGTCCAGCAAATAAGCCTTATTTTAATGAGGATGAGATGGAATGTGTTGATGTTTGTGGCTGTTACGATGCACAGGGTAACTACCATCCACCAGGGAAAACCTTTGACTCAGGAGAGACATGCCAGTCATGGTAAGGGTACATAATCTGTTTTCAGTAACCATATGTTTCCAGTGTGCATTATTAAGGGCACAATCCTATCCATGTTTAGATAGAAACATAACCTCTAAAAGTTTTGCAAGACTTGCAGGGCTTTTAAAGGTCTAAATAAGGTCTAAATTAGTTTCATTCTATTTAAAATTGCATAAGAACCACCTTTATTCCTTCTTCTGGATTCCAAAATGACCCTTCATGTCCATTATTAGCTACTTAAAAGAATGTGTTAGGGTTGGGAAAGGAAGAATCTGATTGTGGAAGTTACAGTCTGAATTCACATCTACATAGAAAACCAAAAGTATTGAATTAATCTCATCTGCAATTCTCCATCAAACTGTTAGATGAGATAGTTCTTGTTTTGATCAAGCAGATGCTGTCTCTCTCTTCTATCCTATGGATGCAAAAGAAAGCGATGAATACTTCCTCTGGATAGTCATGCGCTGGGGGTTCTTTCCAGTGTAGGTATGGGACAGTTAGTGTTGAGGAACTCACAGCAGTGACAACATTGACACTAAAGGATGGGATGAAGAAGTTGGTTTAACAGCAAGAGAACAAAAACAGTCAGACAAACAAAACTATAAATTGAACAAAAATAATAATCTAGAACAAGATGCAAGAGATCAAATGGTCCATGATGAGAAGAGAGCCAAATCTTTTTTTCAATAATCAAGGTCAGAGAATATATTTACAACAATCCTATAGGAGAACTGAATGACAAACTATTTCCTGAAATATTTTACAGATACGTCAACTGTGCTTATTTGTCTGGGACAGCCATTATTTTTCACATGTTTTGATTTTCTGTCCCTCTAAAACTGTCCCTCTTAACTGTTAACACAGTTAACATTGCTGAACTTCTTTACAGGGCCAAAATGCCCCCCCCCCCCAAAATAAATGTATTCAAACTGCTTTCAGGAATCTGCAATATTCCTGGAAAGAGATCTTCAATGTAAGAATGGGGGCTTAACCAGAGAGCCTATCCTTGTCATGTCAGCTGAATATATAATTTTTAAACACAAATAAAATTAACCTTCAGGGGAATGAAGGAGAAAATAAATAGCAATATGTGATTTTATGAATCTACAGTCTCACATTCCACTGTGATTTTTTTACAGTGAATGCACCAGTAAAGGCATCGAGTGTAGCTATGATCCTAAAGGTAAGTTGTAGAAATTTATGAATGGCACCTTAGAAAACTCTTTCTATGATATTGCCTAACCAGAAGCCCTTCTTTCCCATTCCAAATTTCAGCATGCTACTGTTATTATGAAGGAAAGACCTATAGCTACAATGAGGTCATCTACAACACCACAGATGGTTTGGGCTGGTGTATAATTGCAGTCTGTGGTATTAATGGAACCATCCAAAGGAATATCAACAAATGTGCTGGAATTGTATCAACAACACCATTTATCTTTTCTACCACTACTCCAAGTACAGCAGGTAATTCAGTAAACTGCTTGGACTGCAATTCTGTATACCGTTGAACTTGGAAGGACTTACTTATGAGTAAGCATGAACAGGATTGCATAGCTAACCATCTGTAAATTGTTGTCAGCATTAAATAGACAGTACTTACTAGTTGTGTGCCTTCCTCCTAAATAAATTTGCAAGTACTGAGTGAGTGGGAAATGACTTCCTCTTAAGAGGAGCTATATAGCAGGGAATGTTTCGGAGCCCATCCACATTATTATTATTATTATTTATCGATTTATATCCTGCCTTTTTCCTACAAAGGGATCAAGGCAGCTTACATCTCCTCCTCCATCATATCCCCACAACAACAACCCTGTGAGGTAGGTTGGGCTGAGAGTCTGTGACTGGCCCAAAGTCACCCAGTTGGCTCCATGGCTGAGCGGAGACTAGAACCCAGATCACCTGAGTCCCAGTCCCATGCTCTTAACCACTACTCTCTGTATACTCCGTAGCCAAGCAGATACTTTGAAAACCAAAAATCTCTGACCGATTATAATGCAGAGTGGCAGTCACATTGCAAAAGAGAGTTCTACAAGAAAGGGAACAATATGATTTGATCTCCCAAGGCAATAAAATATCAAAACTTAATTGTTTTAGCCTTTCTTTGATTACAGGAAAATAAGATGAAATACAAAAACTAGTAATAAACGCCACATCATTTCCAAAATGTAAAAGGGATTTTTTAAAAATGAAGTAGCCTACTGTTGTTACTGCTACTGCTGAGCCCCACTTCTGGAGGGGGGCAGGGGAGGCTCAGTAATCTCACTGACCAAACCAAAGGTGGGGCTGTAGCTCAGTGGCAGAGCACACACTCTGAGTGCAGAAGCTCTGAGGTTCAAAGCTCAGCATCTCCAAACAAGGAGGAATATCTCTTGCCTCAAGTGCAGGAGAAATGTGGCTAGGAATGTAGGAGCACTTCCAGGTGCTTTTTAGGGATGGGCAGCATCAGAATTTGCCCATTTTGCACCTTCTGGGCCAAACATACATTTAACTGCAATCTACATCCCTGAGTTTACAACCCTAGACTATCCTGCCCACCAAAAGAAAATCCAAATGCGTTCAGCAAAATGCATACATTTGAAAAACATGCATGAAAAATGAGTACTTGTTTAAAATGTGCACAGTTGTTCTTTGATCAATTGGAGAAGAATGCATACCTTTCAGTGATGCACACACTGAGGCATGCATTCTGGGAAAGGCACACAAAATACACATGATTTTTTGTGCAAAACCGCACTCTGATTTAGGTGTGAGATACAATGAGCTTTCAGATGGTATTTGGAGAACTTTGGCAAACTCAGATTTGCTTCTGCACACCTCTGTAGCTATTCAGTGTTGATAAAGTGGAGTTCTCAGTATAAGGCACTTTCCAGTGTTTCTGTCTTTAAAAGGACATTAATAAGAAATCTAAAGAACCGGCAGCACAATGTCCCACAACAAATTGCATACCAAATAAAACAAATCAATGAAACTGAGGAAAACAAACATTCTTCTCTGTGCTACCTGTCATGGCTGATGATCTGGAAGTACACTGGTGGTTCAGTCAGCCAGGCAAATAGGAACAAGTATTCCTGTAATGTGTTTATGTCTGAGTTGCACAGTTAGGAGCCAGGCTGGAGATGGCAACCTCAAAAATTTTTCTCCCACAAAATTGCACACACTAGCTGAGTTCCACAGCAGGTTAACCTCTCTGGGAATTTTAACCATGCATTGTGATTAAAATTTCTCTCTATCGGATAGATTATCAGGTACAGCAGGGTTGGTGGGCCCCCTCCTTCCTCCCAGGAGTCATGGAGGAACACCAAGATTTCCCTGAGCCATGGGAAGCCATTTAGCACTGGCCATGGCTTGACTTTTGAAAAAGGTACTTCTGTGTTATCCACACTCAAGAGACTGAAGGCAGTCCTGCGTTTTCAAGGTAGAGTTACCTGTTTTCATGGTAGAACTATGTGGATGACTTCTTTTGTAGCAGAATCCTCAGGGTTTTGAGGGATGCTCATGTGGCCCTGGGCAGCCCTCATTTCCCAAGGTTGCATAACACAGAGTCACAAGGTCCACCCAAGAACTTGTTAAAAAAAAAAAAATCCTAGACTGACTGACTGATTGACTGTCTGTCTGTCTCTCTCTTTCTCTCTCTCTCTCTTTCAAAGCTTTTTATCTGACCTATTGGTTAAAAGTGCCCAAATAGAAAACTCAACCACAAAATTCACTGTGTGATTTTGTGACAGTCACCATCTCTCAGTCTAAACTTCTTCACAGGGTGGTTGTTGTGCAGAAGAAACGGAAAGAAGCATCGTAAGCCCCCTTGGGTACTCTGCAAAAGGAAGAATTGCAGGGCATACATGCAATGTCATCGTGAGAATACTTTAGAGGGAAAACACCTTGATTTCTTCCTTAGAAGCAGGATGTCTAGGAAAGCTTCTAGGAAGCCCCAGCTGTCTTCTGAGTTTTACAATATATGCCAAGTGACTAGCATTGCAGGAAGTGGTAAAGCCAGTGGGAGGGCAGTTGCCTACTAGCCCCTTAGAGTAGTAGCCTTTCTGCTGCTCTTCCCAGGGGGCTTTCTAATTCTTTCGATAGGCCATGGCTTATTTTGTTCTTTGTGCTTATACAATACAATGAGCAACAGTGGCTTTATTAAACAATGGGACAAGACTTGGCTAGTTTGCATAGTTTGTAAGCCATCCTGGGGAAAGAATACAAAATCAGGACAAGCTCAACAACCATCTAAATTAAGAGAGCAAGCTAAATCATGATTTACAAATTTGTGCAAATTCAGTAAATGTGATAGAGCATTTTTAAAGACTGATTTGAAAATTCAGAATACACACAAGAACATTGCACTAAAAACAGCAAGAAAAATTTAGGGGAAAACTGTACAGATTAGTCATTGAAAATAATAAAACACTTTTTTTTATACTAGAACCAACTATACCAAGATCAACAGGCTGTGTCCATAGGGTGTGCTCTTGGACACAATGGTATGATGTCAGTCACCCAAACTATGGAACAAATGATGGGGACTATGAAACACCAGAAAACATAAGAGCCCATGGATATGATCTTTGTAAAATGCCAGATAATGTAGAATGCAGACCTCAGACGTCTCTTGAGGAAAAGCTGGAATCCATTAATCAAACATTAAAGTGCACCAAAGAAAGTGGCTTGATCTGTAATAACAGAGAACAGAACCCACCAATCTGCTATAATTATGAAATCAGATTCCTGTGTTGTCAATATACACCATGCACAGAAACTACAAACACACCCACGACAAAATTGATGCAAACATCAAGGCAAGTAGCGATGACAACAACAGGTGTAACAAAATATGAAACTGAAAAGGAAACACAGACTTCAACACCTTCAACAACATGGCATCTGCAATCAACAACGAATGAAATCACAACGATTGGAAAGAGCACACTAGAAATATCAACTTCTACTGTTTGCCAGCCCATCTGCCAGTGGACCCCGTGGTTCGATACCAAGAAACCAACCAACGCGCCGGATGACGGGGACGTCGAGAACTTCGAAAGGATCCGTGCCGCTGGAGGACA